TTGATATGTTTGCTTCTCCAATTATATGGCCAGGTGGAAGGTTATGTGGATCCATATAGTATTGCCCCGGCACTTGAAATATTCCTGCAAAGGCAACCGTAGCGATAAGTACAGCAACGACAGTTGTTGAGTTGATCGCGTTGTTTAGGCCTTCTCGATGCATTTTGTGGAGGCGTTTGGCGATGCCTTGTATGCGTTTTCTTGTCTGTCGCGTGTGTTTTAACTGATCGTGCACCTCGTGCTTAATGTCACTAACGGTTTGCTTCAACTCTCTTGCTGGATTTGTTGCGTGTGGTTTGAGAACTCGCGCACTTTCAACGCCATGTTCCTGTAGGATGGCTACAGTTTCAGCCTGTGACATTTTCTCAGCAGTGTCGAGAGCTGTCTCGTGGGACCTATTGATCAATTTTTTGTCTGTTTCATTCTGCCCAAGTAGCAATTTAACAATCTGCAATATCAGTCAAAACAAGTCAGCTCTCCATATGATCAACAATTTCACTTCATTTATACTGTCAACAATTTGGTTCATATATGAAGTAACTGGTACGAGTGGCCTAGCTATTTTTGGAAGAACATGAGCATTTGAATATTCTGTCAATCATATATTGATATTTTACACTTAGTTACTAATAAGCACTAGCAGCATCATGCTCAAAGAAGAAGTAACCAAAAATAAAATTAGTCGAACATGTCTCTCAAGTGAGTGAGCAATGAACAAGACATATACTTCGGGTTAAAATGTTTTGACAACTAAAAATAGCCAACTCTAGTGTATAATCAACAAAACAAGGCCCTTTTGGCATTTGTTCCAGCGCAAGGAATACATCAATGACACGAAAAGAGTGTAAATTGTATATAAGTGAAAGGTGCAAAAAGAACAGAACATCCTCTAAATTCTGGTTTCTATTCCACTATTTTCTTCTGATGTTATTTAGTATCGCCGAATTAACAGGATAACAAAAGGGTAACTGTTTGCAATAAACAATGTCTTAAAGCCTCTAATTAGAAACTGATTCCATCTCTTGTTATGGTAAACATAGAACACTCATTAACTAAAATATCATCAATACAGCAGAGTTTTAGATGAAATATACCTCAGACCTCCCTTTCCGAGCTGCAATATGCAATGGCGTATTACCCTTATTGTCAACCATGTTAATTAATGAAGGATCAGTTTTGATCAGCTCCTCCACAACCTCAAGATTTTGTCCTTTGACAGCCATGTGAAGTGCAGTCTGTCCTTTATTATCCATCCGTGTCGCAATACCTGGCTCCTTGCTCAAAAGAGCCTTCAAAACCTGCAAATGTCCATTCCTTGCAGAAGAATGCAGCGCTGTTTTCCCGTTACTTTTAGCTATAGTGGCCAAACTACTCTGTTCCTCCAAGAAATAATTCACCACCTCTATATGCCCTTGGTTCGCTGCAGTATGCAAAGCTGTTGTATTTGCAACATCAACTGTCATCGCTAGCTCTGGATGTGCTTCCATTAATACCTTCACCATATCTGCAACATTACCAAAAATGAACAAACAACAACATTTCTCAATCTAAAGAAAGTTGGGTTGGTTATATAAATCCTTATTGGCCACAGTTGCAGAGCCACATGTACTCAAGGCGTCGGAAAATTACACTGTATAGCTAGGTCATTCTTATTTTATTATATATATACACATAATATATTGACACCTCTTGGCTTCATCATAAGTTTAGTTCGTTATATTTTGATCGCCTTAGTGTAAATCATGGCTCCACCACTCATTGACCAAGTTGCTCCATTTAAGCTCATCTCTGTCTAATATTATACAAAATAGAAATAAGAAATACTAGAAAATTCTCTATATTATCTATTGGCATAAAAATCTCAAACAAACAAGTTCATTTGAAATCTCGTTGATTACACATCAGAAAAATGGAAAGGCTAAAATGATGCGGGTAGTTCATAACTTCATATACACAAACATCAAGAGCTTACCCAAATCTCCTTGTTTGGCAGCAATATGCAATGCATCAAACCCGTTCCTCGCTTTGATTCCAGCTGCGACAAGATCATAATACATGATCATCTCCCTAACCACCTCATAATAACCATATTCAGCTGCAACATACAAGGGGGTCTCTCCTGCTGAATTTTGCTTTATCAACAACTCTGCTAATTCTTCCTCGCCCGTGTTCTTTATAGTCTCTCTTATTGCAACAATATTTCCAGCTCTAGCTGCCGAATGCAAGGCAGAATCATCACGTTTTCCGGTTAATTGTTTCGTCATCTTTTTCCGGGGTGTGGTCGGCTGAGCTGTTGGGGCTTCCATCTTATTAAAAGTGCCCAAAACCCCACTTCTCTCTTCCCCCCTATGCTAATCTTGAACCAAAATCCTCTTTTTTCTTCCCTCAAACACTCAAATCAACAATCATAATTTCAATTCTAATGACGGTTCAAGAGCCAACATGAAAAACTTTATTCTATAATCACACTTCGCTCGATTCATCAAAGCGAAAAACTTGAATTTCACTCACATTCCTTTTCAAGTTCGAGCCAAAATCAATACCCTGGTAACAACAACAACAACAATATAAACAACAATAACAACAAAAAAACCCAGTATAATGGGGGTCTGGGGAGGTAGTGTGTACGCAGAGCGGACCCAGAATTTTGTGCAAGTGGGTTCAATCTTAAAAGTACATAACTTTAGTCGTAAAATAGTAGTTGTCAAGTGGGTTCAAATAAAATATTTATACAAAATTTATGCAGCTTTAATCGTAATTTATACATATACACAATATTATTTTTTGACGACCATGTGCGTCTGCCACTGGACCTTACCCGTACCTGGAAGGTAGAGATGCTGCTTTCGATAGATCCTCAAAACAGCATAAACTACAAAATCTTTAAAATATTTCTTTTTCCACATGAAGAAAGGCATTCATTTTCAATTTTTGACCTTCAATTCATGATTTTCAATACACTATCTAGCCACCAGTAAACAAAATTGAAGCTTTGTTAGCTTATGGCTATTGTCTTCTCCTTCCTAAGTACATGCATAACACAATCAAAAGATTGCCAATTAAGATAAAGAAAAAAGGGAAAATATTTACCTGGATATGAATAAACTTCTGAAATTTCCAACTTTTTCCAGCTTCCTGATAAAAATTCAAGAACCCCACAATAACAAAGAGTTTTTTTTTGTGATGAAAACAACCAATGTATATTGCTTTTAATAAATGGAAGAAAAGCTTCTAAAAAGTATGGGGTGTCTATATAAGTTGGAACAAGGAAAATGTGTAAAATATACAATTGCTAGAAGAAAAGGGACATTAAAATGGCACATGCATTCAAAAAACAAAATTTGTGTATATATTATAAGTGAGAATCATCACCCTGAGTTCTTGAACAAAAAGAAAAAAGAACCAAAAGAATGGAACTTTTTCTGAAGTTGGTGGTCATGAAGAGGATGGTGATGATTTGAATTTTGAGAATCACATTTGAAATATTAATGTTTATTTTTATTTTTTATTATTATAATTTTCTTTCAATAATTTGAGATGAAACAGAAGAAAAAAACTGCTCCCTGCGGTTGGTGAATAATTTCACTAACCATATTACCAGAAGGTCTATAACCACACACATATATGTTCTTTATAAAAGTAAAGTGTGTATCACGCGCTCTCAGGAGCCAGAAGCAACTGTTTTACATTTGTGCATGTAATTTTTGTTAGACATATCATTCCAAAAATAGAAAGACAGAGAGATTATGTTTTTCCAAAAAATGAAACACTTATCCTTAAATGGTGTTTGGTTTGATTTTTTTTTTTTGGGTCGAGAAAAGTTTCACTTAAAAGTATTTTCACTCTTTTTGAAACAAATGCGACCAAGTTTTTCAGCTTCTTAAAAACTGAAAAAAAATCCTCTTTAATATTTAGTTGAAATTTTTCTTTCGATTTTTTTAAAAAGTTTGAGTGAGATATTTCTTCAAATTTTTGAAGCTAATATAAAACGAATGAAAATCTTGAAAGTTTGTTCTTCAAGTTACTCGCTTTTTTTAAGAGGAGCTACTGGGTTTGAGCTCTAAAAATAAAAGAATCTTTCGATATAAGGCACAAGTCATCCGTTTATTTACATTTAAACTCTATTTTCACAATATATATTTTCACTCCTATAACACTACCGACTCTGAATATAAATTAGGTCAATAGTTCCTGCCTATCCAGTCAAATCAGAGTCATCATTTGTCTTGATTTACCCTTCTAAAATACTAGTCATAGTAAATAATATTCTCCTGATATAATATTAAAACGAGACTAAATCATGCGTATACGGTATAGCTGATAGAACGTGCACGAACGGACAGTCAATGGTGTAAATAAGCCAAAGCATTTGTGTTATCCCTAAATCAACAGAAAAAAATAAAAAAGACAGCCCAGTGCACTAAGCTTCCGCTATGCGCAGAGTCGGGGAAGGGCCGGACCACAAGGTCTATTGTACGCAGTCTTACCCTACATTTCTGCAAAAGGCTGTTTCCACGGCTCAAACTCGTGACCTCCTGGTCACATGACAACAACTTTACCAGTTACGCCAAGGAAAGTAGCTAATATACAGGCACATTAATATAGTGAGCCACACCTTTCAAACTAAGCTTTTAGGCTGATCTATGGATTATAGTTAGCCATCCAGTAATAGGATTATACAGCATTATGTGCTTTATATTACTATATGATCATTATGAAAATGATTTCGTATTCTTTTAATTATACCTACTGGACATGCAGCCAACCAAATATCTCTCTCTCTCTCTCTCTCTGTGCGAGAGGGGGGGGGGGGG